GATCCCTTCCAACCCAAATGATTCTGGGGTTCATTCTGTGATTCCATGATTCTCTTCTCCTGGAGTTACCACACTGCTGACGAGCTCTATGGCTCTGGCACCTTGAAAAACTCCATGGAATCAGAGCAGGGATTATCCCAAGCACAGGATGCTCCCTGCAAGGTTTCCTTTACAATGCCATGTATTTTTTTAAACCCTATCATCCCTGAGTTTGTTTTAACAGATGCTTTTCACAGCACTTTGACTATTCCAGCACAGAAGAGATACAAACAATGCACGTGGTCATTGGAAGCATCAGATCGAAGTTAATCCATATTGTATTTTCCAGCACATCAAGCGTTCAGGAGGCCAACTCCAGGTGGACATGGCAAGTGTTCCAAAAAACCTCCTGTGCCACTTCCAAGACACCAAACTCTGTGATCTGCTGGCAGATGAACAGGAAGAGCTTTTAGGCTCTTTGGCTTCTGTTAAGGACATCTTTTTGATCCATTTTCCAGCCTCCGGGGCTGCTCCTGTCCCGGGAGACTGATAAAGGAGTTCATGAGCACAGAAGAAAGGAAAGACCGGAATATTCATGTGCTCCAAACTCCTGGGAACTTGCAAGAGGAGAGAAAAATCTGAGATATTTTCTCAGTAGGATTTCCTTACTAAGCAACATTTTTTCTCTTGCGTGTAGACAACTGGTTCAAAGCAGCACCGACACCTCGTGCCAGGCCCTGCTCTCCTTCCGCTCTGTCGTGGTGCAAACCATGAGCAGATGGTGCAGTGCAGTGGAAAATCAGATCTCCAAGAAAATATGGAGCTGAGAATAAAACAGCCCTCGAGGAGAAAGCTGCGTGGTTTATTTCGGGATAAAATGAAAAACTGAGATCCTTGGGCAAAAATTAGACTACTCCTTCGGAGTGGAGTATTCCACTTCTGTGAACTGCCTCGTTCCTTCCCGAGCGAGGGAACATCCATCCCTTCACAGCTGAGGGCTCTTCTCATTTGTTGTCTTTCAGTTCATTGATCTGGTTTCTCCAGGCTCCCACGTGACTGTTCTTTGCTGAACTAACAAGCGTGATTATCCCTGAATTTTCCTCTCGTTCCGACTTTCTTGCGCGCCGCCGACAAACCTTTCAGAAAATTCCTTCCCACTTCAGCTGCAGCCTGACCTGAATTGCATCCATCTTTGTTTAAACCCGCTGGGGCAGAAACATCCAGCCAAGATAGGTAAGGGTATAATGTCGAAACTTCAATTCTGGTTTTATGTTTGTGCATAAAGAGATAAAATACCCCTGAAAATGTGAGCGTTTCTCCCATTAAGCCTGATTTAGTGCATGTGGTCTCTGCACTTGTGGCCTTTAAAGTTCCTGACGTGTCCCTGCCTCGCTGTGCCCTGTCCCCAAAATTAAAACTTTTAACTCTGCTCCGGTGAAATTCCAGCTCCTGACATTCCTTGCACTGGAGTGCCAGGAGTGAGTACCAGGGAAACTCCTTGTGCTGGTTTGTGGTAAAGAACTGTTGGATTTGATCTCGGCTCGCTGCGTTTTCGTGACCTACATCCTGTTCATGGGAGCTGAAAAAAAATCTCGGTATCCAAGATTAAAATGGGATGATGTTTATTTATCTGGAGGAAAACAACAGGAGTGAAATATTGGCCTTTCTCACAGAAATAGCTGCTCTGCCCTGATCCCTGGTTTCTGCTTTCTTTTATCTGCAGCTGCATCCCTGCGTGTGCCTGTGGTGACCCCCCTGCGTAATTCAGATTGCACCTGAAATTTGTGGAATTCTCCTTGATCCTTCTGACAAGGAACCAAACCCATTCTGCAGGAGGGCACGGAAGTGAGCCTTAGATGGATGTAAGACCCCATCATCATCATCATTATTATTTATGACAACTCCATGCAGCAGACTTGCTGGGAAAAATCCAAGACTGGGCCAAGTTACTAAAGCAACAAAGAGGATTCTGCTGCTCCAAAGACTTGCTACTTGTTGATAACTTGCCATCCAGCTTTTTTTTTTTTTTCCAAAGAGAAAATGAATGTGGAGGGTGCTTGGAGTCAATTTTTGGTGGGGAATATGCAGTCACTGTCTCTGCTGGTATCAATGGCCCTTTCACTGTACTGGGCTTTACTGTACAGGGAACAAACACAGTTTCCATGGCAGTGTAAACACAAATACATCCCACACTCCAAAGAGTGACTCACACGTGCTGCAGAGAAGAGACAAACTTCCCTGTCTTAATCCGAACACATCTGGGAGAGGAGGATGAGATTATCTCAGTTTAAAAGTATTCCATAAATATTATGTAAACCGAGATTTGCTCGGAATAATTCCATGCCTTGGCAGATCTGAAAGACAAATCCTTTGAAGGTAAAGGAATAAGACAAGGCCAGTGCCTGTTTGCAGTAGCAATGTTCAAATCTATAATGATTTTCTTCTTAAATATAGACACAAGCTGACAGCTCTGGAAGCTGATACAAATTCTCCATGAGCAGTTTATCTCGCTCTTTCAGGGAGTTACAAGAAGAATTTAACTGTTGTAAATGAACAGTAAGTTCAGAACAAAAGGAAGAGATGGATAAATCTCGGGGGGCTACTTAGTACTGGTCTTAAGTCCAGGTGTTGCAGGTGAAATAGTCTGAGATAGTGAGACCCTGACCTCACAAGTGTCTTAGAACATCATTTATCCAAAACTGATGTTCAGATTTGGAGGAAAATGAGTCTGGGATGGAATTAAAATCAAATATGTGATGTGCACTTTGTTAACGGGGAGGAAAAGGTGGTGAGCACTGCTTTGGAGGAATGAATCATGCTCTCAGTGTGTATGAGAGGAAGAGTTTTCCCTAGCAAGACCTTTCTAGGTCCCAAAACCTTGAGGTTTTTTATGACCCCGAGCTAGAGAGTTTATATCCCTTCATAAGGACCTGTTATTTTTGTCATACTCCATCTCTGAAGGATGTCTCATCTGCTTCTCTTACTAACCTAAATCCTTTCCCAGGATCTGCCTGCAGAGTATTCAGATTAAATGTCAAGATTTCCAAAGGCTGCTCTGAGCAGGAATATTTCCTTTGGATCTTACTGCAGGCGAAAGCAAAGCAATGTCATGGCAAAACTGCAGATTCCTCTTGGCTGGGCTGACATGTGAATGTCGACAAGGGGAATTCAGTATTTGAGAGTCACTGAGGTAAAACAAGGCCTGAAGGGTGAGGATTGCTATTTATACAGTGACTCATGGCAGAGCACACAACTTACAGAGAGCTTACAACAAAGTTAGGAGCAGTAGCAGTTAAGCTCTGCTACGGGAATAAGGGTTAAAACAAAACCTTTCATGAGATTCAACTGATACAGCTGCAGGAGCCTGACCTAAATCTGACACAGCCCCCTCAGCCAGGGCCAAAACCAAAGGGAGAGGGACAATAAATCTGTCAGTCGTGGTGTCAAAGGGTGTCTCAGCACACAGACTGTGAGACAGTTTGGAATCTGTCCGAACTGAACATCTGAAGGGAAATTAAAGAACTACAAACAGCAGCATCTTTCTGAATGAAGGTGAAGCGTCTGAATGTCTCATTAATGCACTGCTGAGAGTAATATCTCTAAATCACCTCGGTTGTACTGCAACGTGCAGGAAACCTCGGGGGAGAAAAGGAATAAGCAAGAAAAATAGAGAGGGGAAGCAGTTCCTGGCAATGGCTCTTGGGGGCTGTTTTGTCACCTCTTTGCTGCCCTTCCCCCCTGGGAACAGTCACTTCTGACTGCTCTTCGTTGTCTGTTCAAATCACATCAATTCAAACGGGTTATGAGAGGCTGTATTTAATCAAATGTTTGTTATGTCCAGGTGTCTTTGTCTGTCTCCTTTCCCAGATTTATCCGGAGATAATTATCTCGTGTTGGAGGCTCGTATCCCCTTGAGGACCAATGAGAACACCCACTTAAAAATTTAAAAATAATTGGACCTAACAAAATGCCTGGAGATCCCTGTCCCGTTCCTTCTGTCCTGGTCTGTCCCCACTTGGTGGAGGTGATCTCTCCAAACTGGAATTGTTCTTTGTCCTGTGGGGCCCCGCTCTTGGTCGGTACTCAGATATTCACGGGAAAAAAATACCATAATACTAAAAATTAACAACTGAATAGAATCTGACAGACTTTTCTCCCCCATCAGGAACATAAACACGAGGAATTTCAAAGGCGTGACCAAGCCTGTGATGCACCAAAAGCCATTAAAATTCATTTTTAGGCTGCCTGGCACTGTAAGAAGAATGACACAGTGTATGTGCTCGGACAGTAGAAGCCACTGTGGAGATTTTTTTCAAATCCTGTTGCAATGAATGGAAGCCACAATAACGGAAGCTACAACCTCTACAATAAAAGTTGATATTCATCTGAATGAAAGTTGATATTCGTAAAACTCACCCGCGATTTAAAATAAGTGGCCTGCAGAGGGTAGTAAGTAACGCACAGAAGAGATTTACACTTTTGGCCTGGCCATTTGTGGTGTAATGAGTGTTTTAAGGTCCCTCAAAAGCGAGGGGGGCGATGCACCACCACACCAGTGAGTACCATACTATTAATATTTGTAGTGTCATGGCTTTTAAAGCTTGTTTCCGTGTGCTGTACAGCTGTGTCCTCTCCTCGGGGAAGCGGTCACGGCCCCGAGTCTGCCAGAGCTCAAGGAGCGCTCGGACAACGCTCTGAGGCACAGGGTGGGATTTTGGGGGCATCATGTGCACGGCCACGAGTTGGACGGGATGATGCTTGTGCATCCCTTCCAGTGCAGGATATTCTGTGATTACGAGTGTGTTCGGCCGGGATAGTTTGCACGTGTTGAGGACATTCTGCGATTAAACCAACCCCTCGCTCGCACTGAAGCGCCGCCGCCATTTTCCGCCCCCCGCCCTTCCCCTGACGGAGCCCGCGCGCCGCGCGGCGCCCCCTGGCGGTGCTGGGAGGGATATCGGGATGAAGCGCGGGATTAAGACACATCTCGCGATATTTCCCCCTCCCACCGTTTCCCCCCCCAAGATGGCGGCGCCCACGGAGCCGCCGCCGCTGCCGCCGCCTCAGGGCCGGTTCCGCACCCGGGACGTGCTGGTGCCCGGCGGCCCCTCCGATTTCGGGTCTCTCTTGCTGTCCCCGCCGGTGCTGGCGGGGCTGGAAGCGGCCGGCTTCCTCCGGCCGTCGCCGGTGCAGCTGAAGGCCATCCCGCTGGGGCGCTGCGGGCTGGGTGAGCGGGCGGGCGGGCGCGGGGCTGGGGAGCACCCCGAGGCACCCCGGGGGGCTCCCCTGACCTCTGTGGGGGCTCTTTGCAGATCTCATCGTTCAGGCCAAGTCCGGCACCGGCAAAACATGCGTGTTCGCCACCATCGCCCTGGACGCGGTGCTGCTGGAGAGCCCCGCCACGCAGGTGAGCCCCCGGTTCGCTTTGCAACAGAAAATCCCTCTTTGCAACAGAAAATCCCTCTTTTTGTGGGGGAAAAAGGGCGTTGAAGCCCTTGAGGCACAGCGGTTTAAATCGGGCTTTTGTTGTCAGAGCCACCCTGCGGCTCTCACGTTTAATCCTCGCCCCTCGCAGATCCTGGTCCTGGCGCCCACCAGGGAGATCGCGGTGCAGATCCACGCCGTCATCACGACGATCGCGATAAAAATGGAAGGCTTGGAATGCCACGTGTTCATCGGGGGGACCCCGCTGAACCAGGACAAGAGCAGGCTGAAGAAGTGCCACATCGCTGTTGGCTCCCCAGGTAGGGATGGGCTTCGTTGTGATTCAGGTCCTGTGTGGTCCTTCACAGGACGTAACTGGAGCTCTTGATACCTGGGTGGGGTTTTTTTTTGTTGTTATTAATAGTGCACAGCCTCAAAAGGCTGTGCCAGAGGCATTGAGACGAGCTCTTTTTAGTGAGAAGGTATTTTTAATGAGAGGTTTGGCAGGCTGAGAGTTGCAGCCCGGAGAAGAGAAGGTGGTGTGGAGACCTCACAGCACCTTCCAGTGTCTGAAGGGGCTCCCAGGAAACTGGAGAGGGGACTCTGCACCAGGAACTGGGGTGACAGGGCAAGGATTATTGGGTTCAAACTGAAAGACTGGAAATTTAGGTTGGATATTGGGAAGAAATCCTTCCCTGTGAGGGTGAGGAGGCCCTGGCACAGGTTGCCCAGAGAAGCTGTGGCTGCCCCATCCCTGGAGGTGTCCAAGGCCAGGTTGGATGGGGCTTGGAGCAACCTGGGCTGGTGGAAGGTGTCCCTGCCCGTGGCAGGGGTTGGAACTGGGTGATCTTTAAGGTCTTTTCCATCCCAAACCATTTTGTTTTATGTCTCTGTGATTATCCCAAATATGCCCTTTTTTAAGTCTTACTACAATAAGTAAAAAAAAACATTAAAAGTTCATCATTAGAACCTTTCAGTTCATAACTTCTGAAGTTTTTTTTCCTCTTTTCCTGCTGTGCAGGTCGAATCAAACAGCTCATAGAGCTGGACTACCTGAACACAGCCAGTATCAGGCTCTTCATCCTGGATGAGGCAGACAAGCTCCTGGAGGAAGGCAGCTTCCAGGAGCAAATCAAGTAAGAAAAACCACTCATCCCATGCATTTCTCAGTAGATTAGATGCGTTTTTGTTAATCATTCCCACTTTTATGTCTCCCAGCTGGATTTACTCCTCACTCCCAGCCAATAAGCAGATGTTGGCTGTGTCAGCGACTTACCCCGAGTCCTTGGCTCGTGCTCTGACCAGGTACATGAGGGAGCCAACCTTTGTGAGGCTGAACCCCACTGATCCAAGCCTCCTTGGTGAGTGAACATCCAATTATAGTGATATTGCTGCCAACAGATTAGGAGGAATCTACTAAAACCAAAATATGTACCTTTAAAAGTCATGGTTTTTCATAATTTCGCTCCACACCTGAGTTGTTTAGTTTTATAAAGTATTGATTCCCAGTGAAGCTTCTAGTAGAAGGTGTCCACTAGACCATGGAATGAGATGGTCATTAAAGTCCTTTCCCATCCTGTGATTCTGTGTATTTATGTCCTTTCCCAAACCATCCTGTGATTCTGTGTATTTAAAACACCAGTGACAAATGTAACTCTCTGGGGTTTTTTTTATCCATTCAAAAAAATATTTCAGCTTTTTAAGAAAAACCTCTCTCCTGGAGGTTCTTATTTGGCCACATGTGTGTGTTTGAACTGGAGTTTTTCCCTTTGCCTGCAGTGGCACAGTTGACATAGCACTGTACATGTTTTTCTGGCAACCCTTAATCTGTTCTTTTGGTTTCTTTCCTCAGGGCTGAAGCAGTACTACAAAATTGTGAATTCCCATCCACTTCCACACAAAACATTTGAGGAAAAAACCCAGCACCTGCAGGAGTTGTTCAGCAAGATTCCATTCAATCAAGCCTTAGTCTTCTCAAATTTGCACAGCAGGTGAGAAATTTGAAATAAAATCTGTAGAAAGCAGTGGTTGTAATGTCCAGTCAGGGATAAATTTATGGATAAATTTATGGATAGGGATAAGTTTATGAGACCTGTAAGGTCTCAGAGCACTCTGCAAATTTCAGATCTGAAGTACAGCCTGAGGAATGCAGTTTTATTCCCAGTTTTCCTTGTGTTCTGTGTTCCATCAGGGCTCAACATCTGGCTGAAATCCTGACATCCAGAGGCTTCCCTGCTGAGTGCATTTCAGGTGAGTCCATTCACAACTTCTAATGAACTTATTCTGTTCTATTCTATTGAAATTGGGCATAAATATAACCTGAAATAGGAAAATTAATCTTAAATCTTGGTTTACATGGCCTCTGATTAAATAACTGAGAATAGCATTTGAATCTTCATAAGTCTCTTGAGACTTAATCAGTGTAAAAATTAATTAACATTTAACTTTCTTGTTCTTATATTTGTTTGAGAGCCATTTTTAGGAATGCATTTGCTTGTTTGCAAAGAAAGTTGACTGACATTTGCAGGTTGAAGCTGGGTTTCTTTGGGATGCAGGTGTTGAATTTAAATCTTTATTTCAGTAATCTATGAAAGTTGAAAGCTGGCACCTGCTGCTTATTAGAAACCTTGAATTTTTACTTCAGCTTCCACGGCTTAGGTGTTTAAAATCCATCTAAAATCAGTGCTGTTTAAGTGGGTTAAGCATCTGCATAATTGGCTCCTATTGAAAATCAATAGAATTATCTTTGTAATGAATTACCTTATTTTTCAAGTTCTGTTTGTTCCTTGTTTACTCATTTAAAACTGATATTTGAAGAGGTTTTTCCTCAACCTTATTTTTGATCTCATTTTACAAACCAGTGTTTTTTTAGATTTTTGAGGGGCATAAAGCTGCAAGAATGTACTTTATTTCTAATTTTTATCTTTCCAGGCAACATGAATCAAAACCAACGACTCGATGCTATGGCCAAATTAAAGCAATTCCACTGTCGAGTCCTGATCTCCACAGACTTGGTGAGTTTTTACTGCTCTTGAACAAGCTTTGGACGGGTTTTATTTCAAATTTACTGCCTGCTGTGCACATGGTGCAGCATGCAGGAGTATTGCACATAAAGTTATTCAGAGAATTAGATTTGACTTGGAATTGAACATAAAAGTGCTGATCAAGCACTGCGAGACTGTGTGACTTATTTTCACTGGGAACTTAAAAATTGCCTCCTATTCCTCATCTGGTTGGGATGAGATGAGCTTTTAAGATCTCATCCAACACAAACCAGTCTGTGATTTGGTTCATGAATTAATTTATGTGTTGCTTTGTTGATGCTTTAAAGTTCAAGGGACTTCAGAATTGTTTCCTTTGCATGGGAGCTGTGGGGAGGAATAGTTTGTTTCTCTGGTGCCACAGTGACATTGCAAACAGCTGAACAGAGCAGTGGTTATGTTTGAGATACTCTCAGCTTCTCATTGTTGAGGAATTTTGTTCTTTGGTTGATGGTTTGAGGTGCTGCCATGAGAAGATGTCTCCGTGTTGTCAGCTTGGACTTTTTGATGCTGGGGGGGGAAAAAAAAATAATCCTGGCTTGTATTTGATAAATGGAAGGTAGAAGAAAAATGATTCCTAGTTTTCATGTCCTGTTTTACCTGTAATGCTGTAAAATGGTTGGAAAATTGTAGGTGCTTCATGATGTGTTATAACAATTCAAAGTTCTCATCTGAGTTGGTGGGAGTAACTCCAGGAAGGTTGGACCAGGTGGCCCCACTGTGGCCCCTTCCAGCCTCACCCTGTGCTCCTGTGTTTATTTAAAGCTCTGTTCAGCACAGTCGCTTCTCACTCCCCTTCTCTCCTTCCCATTTTCTCCAGACATCCCGTGGAATTGATGCTGAGAAGGTGAACCTGGTTGTCAACCTGGACGTCCCTGTGGACTGGGAGACCTACATGCATCGGATTGGCAGGGCTGGGCGCTTTGGTGAGAGCCAAATCCATGGATTTATGGAGCTTTCCCTTGCTCTGCTGGCTCTGCTTGGTGATTAATTAATTCCTTTGTGTGTCACAGGCACTCTGGGTTTGTCTGTGACCTACTGCTGCCGTGGGGAGGAGGAGAACACGATGATGAAAATTGCTCAGAAGTGTAATCTGCAGCTCCTTCCTCTGCCAGGTGTGCTCTGGGCTTGGGATGCAGCTGGGATTTGGTTGTTTTGTGCTATTCAGAGCTTCAGGCAAGTCCCCAGGGAGCTGATATGTGGCTTCTCTGCTGGGGCTGCATTACTTTTAGGCCAGGTTTGTCATACTCTCTGCTGATGACTCCTTGTGGAGCTGCTGCAGTTGTGTGGAGCAGTAAAAATGGACTGAGTGCTCAGGGAGAGCAACTCTGCATCCAGCTGTGCTTAAGCAACCACATAACTACCTGGATTTCCAGAAATCTGGTATTAAACCTTGCTCAAGTGTGAAGATACAGCAGTGCAAGGAAGGAGTAATTAAAACAGCAGAATTGCTTCCCTTGCTTTGCCAGAAGCTGTTCTGCTGAAAGGGAGGATTTGCCTTCTTGTCTAAGTTCAAAATAAGTGAAAAATAGATGACAAGGAATGCAGTGCTGTTTGTCCTCATCAGCCTCATGATGCCTTCCATGAAGGAAATGTTCTGGCTCCTTGAGCTCTTCCAAGAATTGAAGGAGTTGGTTTGTGGCCATAATTTAATATTCTACTGTGCAATTTTGCAGAGCTTTGTTTGGGTACTCATTCGAGTTCTAGTGGGAAGGATGGACTTAAAATTAACTGCCTGCTTGTTTCCCTTCTGTGCAGAGCCAATACCTCCTGGAATGATGGATCAGTTTGAAGATGGGGAGGTGGAAGTTAAACCTGCTGTACTTCCAGGACCTTTGGTGAATTGTGACACTGTGTGTCTTAAACCAGAGGAACCAGTGCTGCAGCCTGTCCAGAATAGTTTTCCAGAGGCACCTCAGCCTCTCTCCAGTCTTCCAAGGGATAATTCTGCTGCAGAAAGGCCAAAAAAGTCTCAGAAGCAAAAGCAGATAAAAAAGTGCACAAATCCTGCAAATAAAAATAGTAGAACCCCCCGAACTCCCAGTTGTCACACAGAGCAGAGGAATCAAGTGAAAAGTGTCTCCAGGACAGATGGACATGACAACACTCAGGCTCCAGATGAGGAGGCCTTAAAAAAAAACCTTCCCAAAATTCCATGCTTGTCTTCCTTCAAAAACCAGCTCAACAATCCCTGGAGCTTCTCAGAATTTGTTGAGGACTACGAGTATTTCATGAAAGAAGGATCTGAGAGACAGGTGGAAATTTTGAGGAGCTATTCAGGCCCAGGAGAGCAACGTGAGCTCCCCAGGAACGGGGATGTGGAGTGGGAAGAGATGGGACATCCCACAGAGACAGCAGCAAACGGTGACATTTCTGGTGACAGTGATGGTTCAGACACTTCCAGGGATTCCTTTAGTAGTAGGGAGGATAATTCATGCTTTGAAGCATTTTCCAGGGCTTCCTCTAATGGCAGGGAGAACAACTCATGCTTTGAAGCATTTTCCAGGGCTTCCTCTAATAGTAGGGAGAACAACTCATGCTTTGAAGGATTTTCAGACACACAGGAGAGAAATGCTGTCCCCAAAAGGCATCAGGGTCGTTCAGGCTTCTGTCCTACACCAGAGAAGCCTCAGGAGCCATCCCAGGTCCCAAAGCAAAAGGAAGTGACAAAGAAAGTTCTGAAACAAAATACTAAACAAAAGAAAAGCCACAACCATCAATTCTCGAGTTCTTCCCCGAGGAAAACTGAAGAGGACTGGACCTGCAGCTCCTGGGATGATGCTCCATCTGAGGACTGGAGTTATGAGGACTATTGGAAATGTTATAATGAAGCTTGGCAGAGCTACTATGCAGCAGTGTCTCACTACAGGGAGAGTTACAGGCAGTTCAGCTGGATGAGGGCCTACCACATCAACTCTGTGTATCTCCAGGAGCTCCTGAAAAGTGGGGATTGATGCCCTGCTGCTGCTGGTTGGGGCCAGCAATGGACATGACCCGTGAAAACTCTGCTGGTCTGGAGGACGTTGACAGACAGACATGGTTGGGGATTGAAGAAAAATGTTGTCTTTTTGTAAGCAGCTGTGTTTTGGTAAATGTTTTACACGAGTCCAGTGATGGTGTTACAAGTTGGTAATAAAAGGAAAAGAAAGGCAGTTGGATGCTCTGTTGGAATCTTTACAATCCAAAGTAAACAAAGGATGATCAGAGGCAGCCATGTACATTTAAGAAATGTCACTAAGGAGAAAACACAAACTAATCCCAGTTGTATTTCGTGGAGTCCCAGAATGGTTTGGGTTGGAAGGGACCTTAAAACTCATCTCATTCCAACCCCTGCTGTGGGCAGGGACACCTTCCACTAGCCCAGGTTGCTCTGACCTGGCCTTGGCCACTTCCAGGGATCCAGGGGCAGCCACAGCTTCTCTGGGCAACCTGTGCCAGGGCCTCCCCACCCTCTTGCTTGACTTGTCTTCCCTGTGGTTTTGGGTGAAGAGGAATTCCCTGTAACTCCATAGCCTGTTTGTAGTGGGTGATCATTCCACGTTCCACAATTCTCTTGGTAAACACCAGGCACTGATTATATCCTGGTTAAGGGAGGGAGTGAACATGCATCTCAATGCCTGTATTGCTAATTTAAATCCAGTTAATTACCACTGTATAAATAACATTCTCTAGCAAGGTGTGCAGCCCAAGGATGGTTTAATTATGGAGAGAACGTGCAGCAGTCGTAAGTGTTCTGTCCCTCTGGGTGCAACAATATCAAACTTGCCACACTTACAGGAAAGCTTTAATTAGAACTGAAATTACCTATTAGTGCTAAAGCTAATTGATGTTTCCTGTTTGGCTTGCAGTGCCTGGTATGGAGCTGTCCTGAAGCAGGAAAAGATGGGAGTGCTGGCTGGCTTAGGGTGCTGACCCTGGGCTGACTCTGCACTGATTTTGAAACTTCATCTTTTAGCTTTTAGAATGTTTGGGATCATTAGACATTTTCTTCAGCAACTTCCCTTGATTTCTCAGGGTTCCAATGTTCCCCAGAGCACCTACAGTGTGCTTTTTTTTTTTTTCTTCTTCTTTTCTTTTGTTTTCTTTTCCTTGTGCAGACTTAAGCTGGAATTTTCTCAGCAGTGCATCCTACCTATGAACTGCCCTTCCCAGGAGACTTGCTGCTTTAAATTGGTGCTCTGGGTGTCTCCAGGGCTGTTGGATTGCTCACCTTCAGCCACTCTTATTTTTAGAAACACACAGTTTTCCCTCAGCTCACACAAACCACTTGGCCTGAGTGTTCCTGTCACCCTTACAAAATTCCCTGTGCAAATCCTGTGCTGTCCCCGGTCTTTCTGACCTTTTTTTGTGGAGTGGTGGGTCTAAACTTTAACCTGTGTGATCCAGACTCGTTTTTCAGCGTGCAGGAGGTTTCTAACACTGATTTAGCTCGGGAATGGTGTGGGAATGCAGCCCAGGATGGGCTCTGGGGCTGTTCTGGGCTGGTGTGAGAGCAGCTCACTGGGGCACTGAGGGCTCCTAGTGGGACTCAGCCTTTACTACAAGAGAGGAAAGTGTGTGTAAGCTGTTAGGAGTCACTTAATAAGAGTTTTTAATTTCTGCTTAAATAATTTTGTAGATTTTAGTGATGCCTCCAAGTGCTTTTTTTCTGGCAGCTCTCCTTGTTTTAGGATCAGCTTGTTTTGACCATGTCTACAACACAGAATGCAAGACTGGCCTAAACAGCTGAGGCTGAAAAGAAAGGCATAATACATGCTCTTATTAATTATTAATATTAATAGATCTTGTTAGAAGTATTTTTCTTTCTCTACTTTTTTCCTGCCTTACTCCCTTTGCATCACAAATTACACCAGGGAGGGGCTTCACCTCGATTTTGTTTGCAGAGTTTGATGATTTTGTCTCCAAGACGAATTTTTTTGCAACCCTAAACATCCAAAAAGAGGGGTTTCACTTCAGTGTCTGCGTTATTGCTCTGCTGTGACAGCTCAGTGTTTTCATTAAATAAGAGCTATTAGTGTTTAAATGCAACCTGACTTAGTTAAACACCCAAAGTTCTCCGAAAGAACCTCCCAGGATTTGGTTTGTATTTTTTTTCAGAAGAAATCTCCAGCATCATGTTGGTATTTGTGGCACATACTCTGTTTAATCCGGATTGGATACATCAGGTACAGCAGTGGCACAAGACTCAATACTGTAAATGATATACAAGTTTCAACATATGCACTACAATTCCAAAAGAAGACAACAGGAAACTTGGTTCTTCTAGAAAGTTGTTCTCAAATGAAGCTACCTGCAGCTGTGTCCAGTACAGTTCGGATCTGTCCTCTGTAAGCAAAGCCCACTTAGAGTATGAAAATAGAAAATGATAAAGGTTGAGAGCTTCTCAGAACATAAAACTCCTAAAGGAAACACCACTGGAATGCCAGACTGGTTTATCAAAAAGAGACCATCACACCAGTGTGGAAGATGCTCCACTGGCCCAGGGTGGGAGCTCCTGGTTGGGGTGGCACCAGAAGGGAGAGGAGCCCTCAGTGTGGGTGGTGCCTTCCCCCCAGCCAGCTGAGAGTCCTGGACTAGCACTAACTGAACCCAAAAGGGAAAGGAACACGTGCACACGGATACACACAAAGGAACAGACCTGACTGAGAACACAGGAAGGGGTTTTTTCACGAGCTCTTTGTCACCTGGTCTTTCTCCCGTTCCCCCCGAAGCCTTCCCGGCACAGGTTTTGCTTCCCCAACACCAGCAGCAGTTCTGGGGCACTGTCTGCAGAATTCCCTGTGGCTGCAGAATTCCCTGTGGCTGCAGAAGTCCCTGTGGCTGCAGAATTCCCTGTGGCTGCAGAAGTCCCTGTGGCTGCAGAAGTCCCTGTGGCTGCAGAATTCCCTGTGGCTGCAGAAGTCCCTGGGGGATTTTTGGGGGTGTCATGGATGGGGCTTCACTTATTGCAAGAGGAGGGGTTGGTTTCCCTACGGGTTGGATAACTGGCAGAGAGGTGAAATGACTTCTTTGGGGTCTCTTAGTGGTTCATCAGGACCACCAGGAGCAGAATTCCCAGTGCTCAGTCTCCTGGCTCTGATCCTTGTGCTCCCTGCCTTCCCCTTGCTCTTACAGGATAAAATTATTAAAGAGCTTATGGCAAGTGAGAAGCCTAAAAACCTGGGCTTTAAAGCCACATATCTACTGCAGTTGGCCTAAAGGGTTGGAGAAAAAGAAGTGATTGAAAAGAAAATCAATTAAGATAGACTAGATGGGCAAATTATGTGGAAAATTCACCTAAATTCAAAAGCAGAATGAAATCTGCTGATATTCACAGCCATCCATGAGTGCCTTGTAACTCTGCATTAGTCCAACATGGAAAAACATGACAGGATCCAAGGGGTGTTTCAGCACAGGAATGAAACATAATTCGTAATTTACTGAATATTCTTTATAATGCACGTAAGACACAACATGTTTGCAACCTCTTTACTTAAAGAAGCAAAATATTTGAAGAAACTTTGCTTTCTTTAGCTGTTATTAATCTGATTTTCGTGTAAGCTGCCTAAACTAGAAGGATAAATGCTGGGTTGCAGTTTATTATCAACAGTTTTAGGTTAAACAAGTGGCACCGATTAAATTTAGTCTTTCTGGCCAATTAAAGAAGGATGTATTTTGAATTATCCATTAACTTTATTCCACACTGAGGCCATGTGTGTTACTTAGGTTATCTTTCCCCTGAAACTTCTAACAATGATAATTATTTAATGGATAAAAGTGGTCTCTGGGAGAAGAATTTGCTGTAGAAAGTTTTATATTCCTCTTGTGGAAAGGAGAATCATTTCAATGGTGCAAGGGAGTACAAATGGCAGGAAGAGAGGAGAAAATAAGGAGAGAATTATGGCTGAACAGCTGGAGAAAAATCCTTGGCATTGAGGTCTGTCACTCTGGAAAAAGCTCCCCAGGGAAGTAGAGGAAGTCCTTGGAGAATTTTAAATCTAATTAAATCTAAAAGAGCAGTGCCATATATCACAGTGAAGGATCCTGTGCTAGCAGAGGAGAGATTAAATTTTATAATCCTTGAATTTTTGTGTGCCAAGATGTGTCATCTGTGGCCTCTTCTTTATGGGCGTCCTTAAGATTTTTAAGGAAAATGAAAGTAAAAGGTGGATTTTGGACAGAGTAGATGGAAGTCAAAGCCTACATGTGAAAGATATTTCTCATCATTCTCTGCCACTTGGGTGTGACTCCTGTTTGCAGCCCAATGCCAGGTGGGAAGAGAGGAAATCTATGAACAGAATGTGCTGAAAGCCCATGAAAATATTTCTTTTCCCCTCTGAAAAAAACGTTGGAAAGGAAACCAAATGCTCCGAAAATTGGATATTTTTGCTATTGCTTTTTGTACAAAGAACCCATTTTTATCTTTTTTTTTTTTTTCCCCCCAAGAACCTTTTCTAAAACTATAAAAAGTAAGGAATTAGGGGAGGGGGAAAGGCTTGGACATGATCTGCCAGCACACTCCTGGTGGACAGTCTGGCCAACGGGCTTGTTTTCTAGAACCTGCCTCTTTTCCTGGATGCTTCTCCTCTCAGAGGGAGCCCACAGCTGGAGAAGCCTCAGGAATGACCAGGATTGCTGGGGGAGGTGCTGGTTTTTGGGTTGGGATCCATGGACATGCCTGGCCCCGGGACAGGGAGGGCGATGCTGGTCAGACTGGGCAGCACTGGGACCACTGGGGAGAACAGTCCACACCCTCCAGGTAAAGTCCTGGCTGAGGAATTTTCAGGATTGGCTTGGCCTTATCTCAGCAATGGTTTATAAGCTGCTATTTGAAGATTGTGAAGATCTCTGTGGTTTAGGGAGGCTGATTTGCCTCCCTTTACTGAGGGAAGAAGCGGCTGCAGTGCCATTCCCGGGCTCTGCTCTGCCAAGGCTTTCCCTTTCTCCCTGTTTTCCTGCCAGGGATGCTCCGTTGTGCCCTTCCAAGCCCTGTCTGTGCTGTTTCAGTGCTTTCCCCACAAGGATGGGGCTGGTTTTGGGCAGTGCAGGAGGGGTTTCAGAGCACATTTCCAAGCGCTTTCGGGAGCGTTACTTCAATTCCAGGATAAAGGGAGCTATTGCCTCCACTAAAAATATTTTTAGCCCTGTTCCTCTGGGCTCAGATTCCCTTAATTTTGCCTGGTTTTAT